CTATTTGAATATCAAAACCAAAGATCCAACAAAAAAAGAAAATTACAGGCCAATCTGTCTGGTGAACATAGATGCAAAAATCATCAATAAAATATAAACTAAATGTTAAGAACTCAATGAAAAGATTATCCACCATGATTGGGTTGGCTTCATCCCAGAAATGCAGGGATGGTTCAACATACATAAATCAATGTTATCGCCACAAAAACAGACTCAAGGACAGAAATCATATGATCATCTCATTAGATGCTGAAGAATCTAACATCCGTTCATGATAAAAGTCATGGAGAACCTAGGCATGCAGGAGACATATCTCAACATAGTAAAGGCAATATACAACAAGCCTACAGCCAATATCATACTAAATGGAGAAAAACTGAAAGCATTCCCATTAAAATAGGAACAAGACAAGGATGTCCACCCTCTCCATTACTGTTCAATGTAATACTTGAAGTCTTAGCTTAGAGCAGTAAGAAAAAGAAAAACAAAGGAGATAAAGGGAATACAACCTGGAAAGAAGAAGTCAAAGTATCTTTATTTGCAGATAATATAACTATACATAAAAAGACCCTAAAGACTCCACCATGGGGCCTGAAGAGATGGCTCAGCAATTAAGAGCACTGGCTGTTCTTGCAGCAGCCCAGGGTTCAAATTCCAGCACCCACATGGTGGCTAACAATAATCCATAACTCCAGTTCCAGGAAATCCAACCCCCTCTTCTGCCTCTGCAGGCACTGCACAACACAGATGCATTTACATACATGCAGGCATTAACACTCATACATATAAAAAAAAATTTAAATTAATAATAAAAAAGACTCCACCAGAAAATTCCTAGCAATGATAAATACATTCAGCAAAGTAGCAGGATATAAAATTAACACCCCAAAATCAGTAGCCTTTCTATACACCAACAACAAACGACTGAGAAAGAAATCTAGGAAATGATCCCATTCATGATAGTCTCAAAAATCCATAAAATACTTTGGAATAAATCTAACAAAGGGAGTAGAAGACTTGTACAATAAAACTTTACAATACTGAAGGAAGAAATTGAAGAAGATACCAAAAGATTTTGGAAAGATCTCCCATGCTCATGGATCAGTAGGATTGAATATTGTGAAAATGGTCATCCTACCAAATGCAATCTATAAATTCGGTGCAATACCCATTAAAATTCCAACACAATTCATCACAGATATGGAAAAAATAATCTCAAAGTTCATGTGGAAACATAAAAAACCCAGGGTAGCCAAAATAATCCTGAATAATAAAAGAACTACTACTGGAGGCATTTCCATCCCTGATCTCAAATTATACTACAAAGGTATAGTAGTAAAAACAGCATAACAATGCTTAAAAACAGACACACTGATCAGAATTGAGGACTCAGGGTTAAATCCACACATTTACAGCCATCTCTTCTTTGACAAAGAAGCCAAAAATACAAACTGGACCAAAGTCAGCATGCTCAACAAATGGTGCTGGTCAAACTGGGTAAGGGCATGTAGAAGAATGAAACTAGATCCTTATCTCTCACCATGCACAAACTAAACTCCAAATGGATCAAGAATCTCAACGTAAGACCCAATACCCTGAATCAGAGAGAGGAGAAAGTAGAGAATACATTGGAACTTAAAGGTACAAGAAAGGACTTTCTGAACAGGGTCCCATTCTGACAAATGGGACCACATAAAACTAAAAAGCATCTGTACATCAAAGGACGCCATCGGTTGAATGAAGAGCAAACTACAGAATAGGAAAAAAATCTGTGCCAGCTATTCCGCTGACTGAGGGTATCTAGAACATACAAAGAACTTTAAAAACTATCAAAAACAAACAACTCAATTAAAATGTAGGGCAAGGAGTTGAACAAGAAGTTCTCTAAAAATGAAACACAAATAGCTGAGAAATACTTTTAAAAAATGTTCAGCATCTTCCGTCATCAGGGAAATGCAAATCAAAACCACTATGAGATTTCATCTTACCCTACTCAAGATGGTAAAAATCCGAAAATCAATGAAAAATGGTGGCAAGAAAGTGCAGAAAGGTGGCTGGAGAGATGACTCAGAGGTTAAGAACACTGTTCTTGCAGAAGAGTCGGGTTCAAATCCCAGCACCAACATGGAAACTAACAACTGTCCAAAATTCCAGTTTCAGGGGATCTGATGGCCACTTCTGTCCTCCACAGGCATTCATGACAAGGATGCACTTACATATTGCAGATAATACACACATAAACATAAAATAAAAATAATATTTTCATTAAAAAAATAAAGTGGAGAAAGGGGAACTCTTATCAACTGCTGGTGGGAGTACAAACTAGTGCAGCCAGTATGGTAATCAGCATGGAGATTCTTAGAAGAGCTAGAAATTGATCTACCATATGACCCAGCCATACCAAAAGACTCTATACCCATGTTCATCGTTGCCCTTTTCATAATGGCCAGAAACTGGAAACAATCTAGATGTCCATCAACTAGGATGAATGAATAATGAAGGTGTGGTACATATACACAATGAAATAATTATTTAGCTCTTTAAAAAGATGAAATTCACAGGTAAATGAATGAAACTGGAAACAATCATCCTGAATAAGGTAACTCAGATCCAGAAAGACAAATATCACATGTTCTCTCTCATAGCTGGATGCTAGCTTTAAAATCTTAAATATGCATGTTTCAATCTGAAAATCCAGAGAGGTCAAGAAACTAATGGTCACGGGGAGGTGACTTACTGGTAGAAATGGTGAAATGCAGTTATATGAAGGGGGAAAAAGGGAACATTAGAGTAGGAAGGGGTTAGGGAATGGGAGGGCAGGACAGAGGGGGAAGTATAGGGAAGGGTAAGTAACACTAAAGACCTTTAGAAAAAGTCATAAGGCAATCTACCAATCTACCACTATAGAAGCTTTTCTCTTTTTTTTTTTTTTTTTTTTTTTTTTTGAGACAGGGTCTCCCTATAGCCCCAGCTGACCTGAAACTCCATATGTAGACCAGGTTGGCCTTGAACTCACAGAGATCTTCCCTGCCTCTGCCTCTGCTGGAATTAAAGGTATGTGCCACCACTCCTGGCCTATAGAAGCTTCTTAAAGAGACTAAAAGGAAGGGCTGGAGAGATGGTTCAGCAGTTAAGAACACTGTTCTTGCAGAAGGCCCAGGTTTGAATCCCAGGACCCACATGGCAGCTAACAACTGTCTGTAAATCCAGTTCCAGGGGATCTGACAGCCTCTCCTGTCCTCCACGGGCATTGCACAACACGGGTGCACTTACCTACAGGCAGGCATAACACTCATACACATAAAATAATAAAAATAATAAATAAAAGTTTTAAAAAAATAAAAAAAACTTCAATGCCAGGAATGGAAAGAATGGACTCCCTCTCTAGAAACTTTTGACCAGAGGTTCCGTGGACTTTCAAACAATACTGGCCATTGTTCCTGCTCTTCGTTATCCACCAGAACTGGATGGTAAGACCCTATTGCTGAAGACACACATGCATGAATTCTACAACAACGAGAAATCAAAATTAAGCTGGTGCTGACTTCAGAGTCTCATATCTACTGGCTAATGTTCACAGTACTAGAAGGTGCTATGCATATTACGAAAAGGAAAGAAAATAATCATCAGTCTTACCCGGATGTGAATCCTGTGAATTACAAAACAAATGGACTGGTAAGATATGCCCAACTGTGCAACAGTGGCACAAATATTATGGGAGTAGCCAATCATTCTCTAAATGGATTGAAGATCTACTTCATACAATACAGCCCATACCTGACACTGATAGCATGCTTAGGAACATGACAGTAGACAGGTCACAGGACTTAGGGAAGAGCCTAATACTAGTTTTCTACTAAATAGTTATCATATTAAACTGACTCCTAATGACTTACTGTTATAGGACACATATATCAAATTTCTGCCTCTCAAGGCTCAAGGATCATTGTGGAAGATGGGGCAGAAAGATTATAAGAGCCAGAAGTGGTAGATGACCACAGGGAAACAGTTTTCCAGGCAGCTGGTCATTTACTCATATGAACTCATAGCAATGGTGACAATATGCACAAGTCCCATGCAAGCTCAAACCAGTCAAAATCCCAGTATAGACATGGGGAAGTAGGTAAGAAACCCCACCCCAACTTAAGGAACTTTTAGCAACTGATGGCTGCTGGGGGGTGGCGAGAGACAGTTTCTTTCAAGGATGGGACTCTTGGTAGGTTAACCAGGCTCCAGTGGATGGACCCACATTGAGGGACATTTGGAGACACAAATTAGATGCAATATATTGTATATATAGTACAGTACTCAAAATTGGGCAGGGACAGTGGGGGAGGTGTGGATAAGGGAGGAAATCTAAATACCATCAAATTATATTGTATGAAAAAATCACAAAAATTCAATTTAAAAATGTTTTTAAAAAATACACTGAAATCACTTAGGCACTAATGTGTGATTTTTTTTTCTTTCTTTTTCTCTGAAACATGATCTTACCATCTAGCTCAGAATGGCTTCAAACTCTCAATTCTCTTGCCTCAGTCTCCCGATAGGTGTGTACATACACAAATACACGTATGTGGAGGTCAGAGGGCAACCTCAGGTGCCAGTCCTTGCCTTCTACCTTGGGACAAGATCTCCTGCTCACTGCTCCATATGCCAGGCTGGCTGACTCAGGAGCTTCTGGCAATTCTCCTGTCTCTACCTCCCGTAACCTAGTAGGGACACACTAAGATGAGAGATAATGTGTACTGCTGCATCCATCTCTCAGGTAGGTTCTGGGGATCCAAACTCGCTCATCATGCTTGCCGAGTAAGTGCTTTATCCAGGTCCCTAAATCTTCAAAAATTTTTTTAATTAACTCCACTGTTAGTTCAACTCTTTTTTTACAGTACACTTTCATATAATATGATAGTAGCTGGAAACCCTACTCCAAGATAATGAGCTAGATATTATTTATTGCAAGCTAAAGAGTATAAAACCAATCCTGTAAACAATCTTACCTTAATAGGCATACCAGTACAGTGTAACCCAAAGGGAAACAGACAATGTTTTCCTTTTAATCTCTGGTACCCCACTGCAAACTACAGAAAGAAAATGAAATTTAAATTACAAATATAAATGGTAGATAAATACAAAACACTAACTTTTCACAAGTGCTAGTTTTTACTGTCATTCTAAAATTCTAGTGCACTATTATTCTGTTTTTCACCAACATAGCAATTTTGAACATAACACACATGTCCAGAACTCTAAACAATATACACATGGCATGCAAAAATTAAGTATAAAATTAAAGTAGTTAAATATCAAAGTTAATTCTTTAAAACTAAGAATTAGAGTTCCTTTAGCAGAAAATGAATTTTACATGTGCCATTTTCTTCAAAATGGTATTTATTACAGACCCTCCCCATCCTATCACAGTAAACAGAAAGCTTTACCTCACACTTGGATAAGGAAAACGTGTGTCCCAAATGAAGGCGCCCATTCATGTATGGATATGGGAAGGTGACGAAGTATTTACCATTGCTACAAAAAAAAAAAAAAAAAACATATGAAAAAGAAAGTACAGAAAAGAAAAGGGTAAATTCCTTTCACAATGAGGGGTGGAATGGAAGGAATGCTTGGTATAAGCACTCTGTTTAAAGCTAAATTATTTAAAAGATAACAAGTTTATAAATCCAGAAATTAAAAACTCTCCCTTAGAAATAATCATATTCACAAATGACTATCACAGAATAAACTTTCTGAACAAGGAACAGAGCTCAATGGTAGAGCACTTACAGCACCTGTGAGGCCTGAGGTTCAATCCACAACACTATACAAAGAAATATCCTTGGAGCAAATTCTAGAGGCTTAACATAGACTTAGGATATTCGAGTAAAGGTAACATAACTTTAAAATTAACATTTTTTAGGAATCTGTACTGGTTTAATGTTTAACTGATAAAATGAGATTCCCTTTCATTAAAGATGCACAATGCAACCCAAAGTTCCATAGGCACAATAAAACTTCCTTAATACTACATAACATATATGGTAGAGCATCTTTTTGAAAGCAGTTCATTTTCTCACACTACCATCCTTTTTTCACATGATGTGTACTTCTGCTATAACATAGAATAAAATACACACTTTTATGTTTTTGGTTTTGCTGTTTTTACAATACACACTTATAAATACACTATCCAGGTTATAAACTCAATGAAGCTGCCCATGTGGCTCTCTCCACTCTCTTCAAGGGATGACCAATACCCTGAAACTGTCATTCTCTTCCTCTTGAATAGTTTACAAATACATCTGTGCCCTTCCACAATGTAACATTTAGTGTGGCTCACTCAGGAATTTTATATAAAGCATGCTAGAGTTAACAGACTTGCAATTTGCTCTTTTCACTCATCGTTATATTACTAAATCTCTCCAACACTGCTGCATAAACAGTTCATTCACTTTTACTGAACAAAGCAGCTATTGCAGTTCATTTTTTTGTTTAAATATTATTTTTATTTTATGTGTATGAGTGTATTGCCTGCATGTAAGTGTACCCGTGTTGTACAATGTCCAGACGTCAGAAGAAGGCACTGGATCCCTGGAACTGGAGCAAAAGACAGTTGTTAGACACCATGCTAGTGCTGGGAAACCCCGGTCCTCTGAAAGAGCACAGGTCATCTCTCCAGCTGAACCATCTCTCAACCCCCTGAAGTTCATTTTTTATTGAATTCTTTTTGCTGATTGTTTGTTTGAGACAGAGTCTTACTATGTAGACCCAGATAACCTGGAATTTGCTCCATAGACCAGGCTGGCCTTTAATTTAAACAGAGATCCATCTTTCTCTGCCTCCTAAGTTCTAGGATTTAAGGCATGTGCCACCACACCTAGCTTCAATTTCTTTAATGATGGCCAAAATTCAAGAACCAAACTACAGAAGAAAAAAATAATAGTTTAAAGTATAGCACTAAAAACTACATTTAAGCAATTTCTCTTTAAAAACAAGTCTCAGCCATACTACCCTAAACATGCCTAATTTATCAGATCTTAGAAGTTAAGCAGAGTCAGGCCTGGTTAATACCTAGAAGCAAGAAAGTACTAAAAACAAACCCATGCCCTGTGAATTTCCCTATACAACTTTGAGCTGCTTACTTAGCCTCTCTGTGTTTGCTCATCATCTGTAAATGGTAAACAAATTTTTATCAGGATGGGGATAGCTCAGTAGGTAGAATCCTTGCCCAACATACTCAAAGCCCCAAGTACCATCCCCAGCATCACATAAACCAGGTATGATACCCAGAATTGCAGCACTCAGGAGGTGGAGGCTAGAGGACCAATCACGCAGGTCATTCTCAACTACATGGCAAGTTCAAGATTACACTGAGATACATAAGACCGTCTCACACACACAAAAAAAAAAATCATTCAACTTAAAATGTTAAGAGGGAAGCTGGAGAGATGGTTCAACAGTTAAGACCACGGACTGCTCTTGCAGAGAATCCAGGTTTGGTTCTCAGCAACTACGTGGTGGCTAACAACTGTTCATAACCCCAGTTCCAGGGGATCCGACGCCCTCTTCTGGTCTTCATGGCCATTACACAACACCATTGCACCTATATACAGGCAGGTAAAACACTCATACAAATTAAAATAAAAATAATTTTTTTTAAGAAAAGGTTACTAGGCTGGGCATGGTGGTGCACACCTTTAATCCTAGCACTTGGGAGGCAGAGGCAGGTGGATCTCTGTGAGTTCGAGGCCAGCCTGGTCTACATAGCGAGTTGCAGGCCAGCTGGGGCTACAGGAAGACACTGTCTCAAAAAGACAAAAAAAAAAAAGAAAAGTAAAGATTATCAAGAAGCCAAGAATGGCAGTACATCTGTAATTCCAGCACAAAGGTGAGAGAACTACCATGAGTCTGAGGTTAGCCTTACAACAGAGTAAGTTTGAGACTGACAATCTTAAAAAATAACTGAGTGGATGGAGAGATGGCTCCAACAGTTACAAAGCACTGGCTGCTCTCGCAGAGGATCAGAGTTTGGTTCTGAGAACCCACATAGGGGCTAACAACTGTCGGTAACTCCAGTTCCAAGGGATCTAACGTTCAAGGCCAGCCTGGTCTACATAGCGACTTCCAGGCCACCAGCTGGGGCTACAGGGAGACCCTGTCTCAAAAAGACCAAAAAATAAATAAATAAATAAATAAAGATTAAATCAGAATGTAGCACGCTTCCTAGTACACAATTAAGTGTTCAGGGTTAGCTACCACCACTGTTACAGTTACCACTGAATTTCCTCAGTTTGAACAGGTACATTTTCCTTTATCTCAACATATCTGAAATTAATACATATTGTAATTGAGGCATATATTTATTGGGGTATTCTTTTGGAGGGCAGTTGTTTTTATTTTTTTCCCCCAATAATCATTATCTACAGTTTGTCTCAAATCATTATGTTAGCATCAAAATAATATAGTATTTATGAAATAAGATCATTACAATTATGCCTTCAAAATTTTATTTTGTAACTTTGGAGATAATTATCAACACGAATTTGTCAAAGAAAAAAAAAAAAACCTTCCTTTTGACAGTAAAGACAAAACTTCAAAACATTCTCCCTTATCAAAATACCAACTAAAAATTCTTATGGACTAGCAAGAATTACCTGCACTGAATCCTGAGAATCCATATGGTGGAGAGAACCTACTTCTATGTTCTAAGTTGTCCTCTGAACTTCCCCCTACACTATGTGGCATACATGTACACATACACACAAATAAATAAATAAATAAATAAATAAATAAATAAATAAATAAATAAATGCTTTTTTTTTTGGTCTTTTTGAGACAGGGTCTCCCTACAGCCCCAGATGTCCTGGAACTCATTATGTAGACCAGGCTGGCCTCGAACTCACAAAGATCCACCTGCTTCTGCCTCCCCAGTGCTGGGATTAAAGGCGTGCACCACCACACCCGGCATAAATGCATTGTTTTTTAAAACTGTATGAACAAACATAGAATTCTATAGAAAAGGGTATTCAAACATGAATACACAAAGTGAAAATCAGCTCCTTCTGTCTGTTTCAGGCATCACACTTTTTCATTTACCAGTTCCACCAAGGAACTTCAGACTCACCTAGTCTGCTTCTCTAAGTGAGATGTATCAACTTCAAACACCTTCTCAGCATCCCATTTCTGCTGAATTTCTTTCTCAATCTTCTTCAAGAAGTCTACTTTGGCTGTTCCTTTTCTTTCCTATTTAATACAAAAGAGATACAGTGGCTTGCTTTAAATAAAGAGCCATATGCCAGGAACCTCAGCACAGAGAAGGTGGACGAAGAACTGAGCTGCTGACAGACCCATTTTCCCATAGTTATCCTGAAATATTAGAACAAGATGAAAAATTAGTTACTGATCTCAGATAATGCAACCAGAATGGTGGTTTAAAAAGCCAGAGAAAAGACAAAAGGGTGAGAGAGCTGATCAAGGATACTAGACTGCAAGGGACAGGAATAAGTTCAAGTGTTCTATTGTATAGTAGGGTGACTATAGATAACAGTTATCTATTGTATACCTCAACAAGCTAGAAGGTCTGCCATCTGTGGTAGAACTGCTGTCAAAATGCTGATTTTTATTTTAAAAAAAAAAAAAAAAACCTTTACGGGGAAGACCATTCTGTTTCAATCTGGGATACTATACAATAGATGTAAAGCTTAAAAATCCTAGCTGGGCCAGGCATGGTGGCGCACGCCTTTGATCCCAGCACTTGGGAGGCAGAGGCAGGCGGATCTCTATGAGTTCAAGGCCAGCCTGGTCTACATAGTGAGTTCCAGGACAGCTGGGGCCACAGGGAGACCCTGTCTCAAAAAGACTTAAAAAAAAAAAAAATTCTAGCTGGAAAGATGGCTCAGTGATTAAGAGCACTGGTTATTCTTGCAGAGGACCTGAGTTCAGTGCCCAGCACCCTCAAGGTGGCTAACAACCATCTGTAACTCCAGTTCCAGGGGACTTGCCACTCTCTGCAAACATTGTACAACACAGGTAGACTTACATGCACATAGGCAACATACACATACACATAAAATAAAAATAAATAAACAGCCGGGCATGGTGATACACACCTTTAGTCCCAGCACTTGGGAGGCAGAGGCAGGCAGATCTCTGTGAGTACAAGGCCAGCCTGGT